CTTGTTGTTAAGATATCTTGAAAATATAATCTTGCATATTCGCACATCTGGTTTACGTTTTCGGTGACTATTTGTTGGACAGAAAATAAGTCGGTCAGCTGTGTCATTGGGGATTCGGCCCTTTGCACCAATAATCTACAGAATGTGTCTCTGTTCATTCTATCCCCTCATATTATGTTTCGTTGGGCCAGCCATTGAGTTGATTGCTCTTGTTTTTTAATTATAATTTTTTCCAATGCTATGATTTTCCTTCTGCGTTTCGTTGTCAAGGAAGCATCGGAGACTGGGTGTTTGCCCAGCTCCGCTTCGGCTCTCTATATATATGCTATTAGTGAGTTTTCCTGGATTTTATCGTTTAGTGCTTTGATATTGAAGATGTTATTCAGAGATCTTTGTAGAATTATGATCCCACCTCTAACCACTAGTTTTCCTCCTCAAACAGATGATGGGTTTGTGACCATTGATCTAAGTGTTTTTTAATCCAGTCCGAGATGATTTGTATTAAATTTAAAATGTGAAGGTCCAAAGTGATTCTTTTGTGGGAGGTTGAACTCCACTTCTACCGGGCGGTGATCCGATAAAAAGGAGGTGCTACTTCCAATTTCATACAGTTCGTCCATGGACTGCCCCTTATTAAAAAATAGTCGAGTCTCCTTCGAACAGAGGAGGTTTGGGATTCAAACCAAGTATAGCCATGACTATTTGGGTGCAGTGTTATGAAGGCATCCATCAAATTTTGTGAAACAATAAAGTCGTGCAACAGTCTTGCATCTGTTTCGATAGGTGTCACTTTAGGGCAATCTAATCCTTGGTTTAAGACAGTATTCCGATCTGTAGCCAGGATCAAATTGTTTGAGTTTGGGATTAAACTGGGGAGCTCTGCAATAAAATGGACGTGTTCATTATAGTCTGTGGGGAGGTACAATGACATAATTGTCCGGTCCTTCTCTTTCATTGTTAATTTAACCCATACCCAACGGCCCCATAAATCTACCATAAAGTCGATTACAATCGTTTCTAGATCTCTGTGGAGTAGGATGCTTGTCCCTCCACATGTACTTGTTTGCCCACTTGTGCCTCTCGCCGGAACCCAATACTGAGGATTCGACCACCAAGAGGTCTCAGTGATTAATCTTTGTTCATCCAGTTTCGACTCTTTGATGCAGACAACTGCAGATTTATTGTAATGCAACCATAATTTCAACCTATCTCTTTTGTACTTGTAGTAAGTATCACAAAGGCCTCTGACATTCCATGACACTGTGCTAAAAAAACCCTTAGGCAGCATAGGTTGTGGTAGTGCCAGAAAGGTCTTGGATCCGGCCTGGTACTGGTGTGTTCATGTCCAGTTGCTTCCGCCGACGAGCCCCTTCTCCCCTTTTTAGGTTTCGCTATTCCCCCCAAGGGACACGCAGAACATTTACAAATTCAGGTTGGAAGATCACCTTTCTAAAGACAGAGGTAACCAACCAGTGAGCAATTGTTTTTGCAGTCATTATTTGTTTGAACAAAATCTTATTCAAGTTCTCATTCAAGGGGGAATCATGGACGGACAACAGAAACCAATGTTTGTCCATCGTTGCCAATTGGTTCATGGTAGTATTATCCATTTTTGCATCCAGGAAAACAAAATACAGGCGGACCTTGATACCATTACCATCTCCTGCTGTGAAACATCCAATACGTACTGCTGGGATCACTCTTACCTGTAGGAAATTTAGGATAACGGGTTTGACTTTTTCCAGGATGGCCAGCTCCGTTAGTGCTCCTTCAACGTCCGTTGTAGGAAGTTCGAATAGACTATTTGCAAGCTGGGTTGCCATGACCATGACTCCTTTATTCGAGTTTGCGGGAACTTTTTGTCGGGGGAGTTTCTCCCTTCGGTACGAAACTGGAAAACGATGGTTGTGGGGGTGGTTGACGTGGACCCAAATTTTCAAAAGGGTCAATCTCCCTTGCGGGATAAGTATCAATGTATCATCGGTCTCCACGTGGTAAAAGGAACGACAAACATTATACTAGGGAGTGTTTGCGGACAATACCTCAAAATAATACTCTACGAGTCCCTGGTTAGAAATTTCCATAGCTAGCCTCGCACAAATCCTAGACTGAGCGTTGGAATTCAGCTCGAACCGTACACTGCCCAATTCAGGCTCCTTACCGTCTTGCTCTGTGGGATAGGATTTTTGGACTTCATCGAAAGTATTTTCAATTGCTACTTTCAAGGTAGACATCAACTGTAGTCGCATTCGAGGACAGCGGACCCATACTACTTCCGAGCCCCTGTCCTTGAACACCTTCATCTTTGCTAGGGTCATCCATGGCAAAAAATGGGCATCGTACTCTTTGTCTTCACATTGGATTTTCTCTTCCTTCTTCATAAGCATCCATTGGATTAAGGATATCTCCGATGAGACGAAAGATACCAAGTTCTTACCCTCACTTTAGTACCTTTCTCTAGTCACCGATTCATCCACAATTCTAGCATCGTACCACGCATTTTTGTACACTCTTACCAATTTCTTTTTCAAAGAGTTGGATAGTGTCGTAGACTCATTTTCAAACATGATTGTTATTACGTGTTCTTTCAGCCATTGAATATTCAAATTGGAGAATTCTTCATTTAAATCAAACCTCGCGATGTCATCACTCAGTTGGGCTACTCTTATACTGAGATAGGCAGGGAAAATTTCATCTTTGAAACACGCGTTTAGCATATTTCCTATTTGTTTCTTCTCCTCAGGGGAATACACTCGAGTAACTGATGATGAACTCTCCATGGTCAAACCATACTTCAACCTACCTAAGACCGATACTGTTAGAGGCCTTGATCAACATACAATTAAATACTTGATACATTACCAGGCACTCAATGAGGGATATTGGGAATTCACAACAATACCATCTCCGAAAATCTTCACCATCATGTAGACCCCGTCGTGGGGTTGGCTTCGTAGGTCGCTGTTGTCTTCTTTGTTTCACACTTGCAGTCCAGGAACTCCAAAGGGCTCAAACCGAATGGCTGGGGCGGTAACCAGGCCACTACCAGGAGGGAGAGCCCGACCCCTCAAGGGTCGTTGCCCATTCAGGATGAGAGGCAACTTTCCAAATCCATTACCGACATGGCGAACCATGCGGTCAAGAGGCGCGATGACCGAAACCTCGATGTTGATGATTTGATGATACACTACCTTGGTCACCGAGACAGCCGCGGAGAGATGTGCAATTCGTGTCAACCCGCTCGGCGCCTGGTACCTCCCCCTCGCCTTTTCTTTTTGGCTTGTTCACAGCCCGTCAGGGGTGCGTTTTATGCCCCTAAGAACATTTTTCGTCGTCGTTCGTTATACGGTCGTTGGAAGGCTGGAAAAACAAGGCATGGCAGTTTAGGGGGTGGTGGCATTTTATTTGAAAGTGCAGGACCGGTAGTTGCCCGTGGGACCACACGGGTTTTGGTCCAGGACTGCGTAGGACCAGTAGCTGCGCATAGGAGGCCGAGGAGGCCGCAATCCTTTTTCAAAATTGAAACGGTGCAGGTCCACTTTTCTCGAATAGCAGAGTTCCTCGAATAGTACACGTTGTATTCAAGTACAACCTGTACCCTTTCTATTCGGATTTCGAAAAGAACAAACTCTTGTATTCCGATAAAATTACTCCTTTTTGTTGGAGGTCAGCGCCTGCCCTTGTGCTCCCGGCAACTGACATGCTGCATGCTGCATGCTGCAGCTCTCTCTCTCTCTCTCTCTCTCTCTCTCTCTCTCTCTCTCTCTCTCTCTCTCTCTCTCTCACACACACACACACACA